AGAGAGAGAGAGAGAGAGAGAGAGATGACGTGGAGTACAAAATTCTCGTTCTTCACGTCTGTCTCATTCTTCAGTTGTCTTTTGTACAATTTGAACATTTCATTTTGCAATGAAATTAAATCAACTTGAGTCGGATTTTATCTGCCATAAAGAAAGTAACAACAGTTATAAAAATTCAAATTTAAAAATAACAACGAAAATCATTCCAGCCATTCTGGTCGAGGGATTTTCGAATGTACAGGAAATAATTTTTAAACGACGTACGTCGTTCGAATAATGCACTTTCAAATGTTTGTTGCACATTGGTTTGTCGTTCAAGGCGAAGCTCGGGCGAAAAGAATTGCGAAACCGATCGATCGACACGAACCCACTTCGACTCTCGATGTCATCGATGTGGCTACGTTCAAACGAAATTAGAAAAATTGATCGAGTGAACTCGGGATTCAATCGTGATTCTCCACCGAATCTGTTGAATCTACCGCGATGATGGTTGTCTGAAATATCAATCGTTTAGCCCCGCGTTTGGACGCCGTCCAAAATTAAGCCCGTGTTTCCTTCACCAGCATGCGACTTCACTCAACCGACCGGAGTCAGAGACGATGGTCGACGGCTTGAAACGCGCCCTGTTTTCTCGCTGAAATAATGCGTGTCCTCGAGAAACTTCACGGAGATTCGCCTGTCAGGTAAACGAGTTTCTCCCCTGTATAGAAGATTCGTCCAAGATCCCTAAAATTCCCTCAAAATTCGTGAAAACTGTACTTTTGACATTCTAAACATTTGTTCGAACATCTTCAAACTTAGTGAAATTCGCTTGAGATATTGAAAAGGAAAAGAAAATTTCCTTAATCTATTTCAATATGAATTTCCTTAATTATTTTAAAATATAACATTTCAGATAATTGCTTTGGTCAACGATTCACGTCGATTGAATTAACTTGATTCAAACATTGATGTACCCTTGATTTCAGAGACTATCGCTCTCATTTTCACTTGGAGACACACACCGATGATATATATTAAAATTATCGTCGTGGTGGATTGTTCGTATTTCGACGCGTACACATCGCGAACAAAACGGAGCAGTGACAGTTGCGTTGAACCACAATGCCACACCAGACACGACTCAATTACTTTGTGTGTGTGTGTGTGTGTGTGTGTATCGTTCTATTCCATTTAACACTTGACCAAACTCTGAATTCAAGGAGACTCTTACCCGGATAAACTCTCTCTTTGCCCGTTCGGCTCACTCAACTTTCAGTGCAAGCTCGAGCAAGCATTTTCCATAAGCATTTATCCTTATACGTGTGCATTTCCCTTTTTCCCTACTTTTGTCTATCTTCCACCCGGAGAGACGTGGTTCTCAGCTGGAATGCTCGTGCATTCTTTTCCGCGATGGGTTGCCATCTCGGCAACTTTCGCACCTCGAGCGATCTCGATGAATCAACAATACCAGTAGCGCGGAAAAGAATGCATGCATTCTCGATGCATCGAAGTTTTAGAATAAAAATGATATACCGTAGCTGCGTGCGTTTTCACCTCGAGATGGAAAAGTAGGAGAAGTAGGGGTGAAATTATTAATAGTCTAGATATTTTATTAATATTCGAATAAAAATAAAAGATTAATATTCTAGTTTAATATTCGAGTCTAGATTAATATTCGAATAAAAATAAAATAAAACTATAATTCGATTAATAACTAAAATTCGAGTCTAGTCTAGATTAATATTCGAATAAAAATAAAATAAAACTAAATAATAAATTTATAAAAAAAAATGTATATATGTCAAAAATATGAGGAATAAATAGAGAAAAATTTTATTATTTAGTTTAGGTTTATATAAGTTAAATATATAGGTATTATTTAAGTTTACGACAATAATTCTAAAAATTCAACTTATTATAATGACTAATCCGTCGCAATAACCAAATCCAGAATTTATGAAAATTATTCTTCAATTTGATCGATTTAATATTAATACGAACATCACTCGAGATAACAAATAATGAATTCGTCTTGACAAGATGATACACACAGAAATACAAAATTGGAGTAACATTTTAATCCAGCCGACACTATGAATATTTCAACATTGACACCGTTCTGAAAATAAAATTTACCTGCGCCGCTCGCGAAATAGCAGGAATTCATCGATATTTTCAAACCCAGGTGACTCGCAACGTATCAAAAAAATCGAGAGAACTGCGAAGAAACCATGGCAGACAACGAGGAGGCCGACTCTGACCTAGCCAATGCTTCAGAGGTCTCCGTAAAGTCTCCATCCGCAGCTTCGGGAGTTGAATCGGTTCGTTTGCCAAGCCCGGAGAACGCGGAACCATCGACTGTGTCAGAAGCAGCATCGGAAGTCCTGCCCTCGGCACCAGACAGTCCTCGAGGTTCACCGAGAGCCAACAGAGTCCAGCATGAACCCATAGAGGAGAAGGTTTCCAAGAGCCAGGAAGAGTTTGGCAAGTCTCGAGAGAACAGCCTGGACAGCAAGAAGCCTTCCCTCGGTCAGCTCGCTCAGAGGAGCAAAACGACGAAGCTGTATCGACAGTGTCATCGTCGGTTCAGAGAGATGATCGGCAAACGCGAGCTGAGGAACATCGAGCTGGAGAGGCAACAGGGCGATCTGAAGCAGCGGCTGAACGTGTTGGAGTGTTCGATGCCGGCCGTGATGGTGTGGAACATGTGGAGGATGTCTCGGGCAGGCTGTGTTCCTGAACTTGGACGAGCCTTGGAGAGGCAATTTGAAGGTCCGGCATCGGGAGAAGCGTGCTGTCCGAGCACACCGAGCCGGCACTTCGACTGCAGAGTGAGGGAAGCGGAGGCTGAGAGGAAACAGGCGCTGAAGAAGATGGAAGACGCCAGGGCTCTCTGGGCGGAGAAGGAAGCCGCGTTGGAGGACAGGAACAGGAAGCTGGTAGAAGCCAAGAGGCTGCGAGAGGACACCGAAATGAAGATCGGACAGCTGACCGCCGAGGTTCAGAAGCTCAGACAGGCCGCCGTCAAAGTTGAGGACGACGGAGCCTGCGAGGGTTAGTTTCTCAACATTTCTCACGGCGCGCAGAAACAAATAAAAATATCAGAGGCAGTGTTGTTTAAGTAATGTCGTTTTTCGATATTGTACAAAATTTTATTTCATTTAAGAGTTTTAATCTATGATATAATTCAACAATAAGCGAACTAAATATCAAGTTAAATTATAGGTTATGTTAGATACAAATTATTGTCACTAGATGGCAATGTTTCTTAAATTTGAAGAAAACGTTACTTATGGGAACCCCTAATCTCATAAAGAAACAAATAAACAATAAAGTAACGAAGTACGACGAGTTGTTTGAATTATTTGAAAACTTGTAAAAACATATCTGTCAAACGTACAACGCTGGTGAAAAGAGTGGACTCTAGGAAAAAAATTAACCCTTTTGTTACGACAGTTTGAAGCCGTCACTGAACAGCCGGACTCTTCGCCAAAAGTGTACACATTGATCGAATCATTTTCTGAGTCCGTGGGTTTTCAAATGAAATCTTTTTTGAATTTTTTCTTTAAACAAACTATAATTTTTCAAACAAAAATTTTTATGGCATTAACAATCATACCTATAGGTGGTTTTCTCCGAATTGCGATAGATTAAGGAAGAGTCTTTATCACAATAACTTTTCATCATATAAATATTCCATCGTACAGAAAAAAAAAATAAAAAAATGGCTAAAGTGTATTGTGTATTTTTAAGCGATTACTCCAATACGTCGATAGATGCTGTATACAATATTCTAGTATACTAGATTTTACACACACAAAACACGTTTCCTCTATAATTACGTGCAATCTTGAATTTCGAAACTCCGTTCAACCGCACAAATATCCACGAAGCCTAATTCGAGTCTGACGGACATGCAGGGGAGTGCGGAGTGCCAGAGTGCAAGAAGAAATGGCTGGAGAAGGTGCCGAGCTGCGCGTCCATCGAATCGGCGGACATCGAGTGTCTGGAGAAACTGCAACAGTTAGCGGAGAACGAGGTGTACACGAGGAGAAAGATCGCCGAGCTGGAGAGTCGCGAGGAAGCGTACATGAGGACCCTCCAGCAAGCGGACGAGCTCTGGTGTAAGCTGGACACCGACGCGGTGAGTACCGTGACCGCTTTGCAAGAGCAACTGGACGCGAAGACGGCGGCGAACCAACGAATGGCCGATCGGATCTGCGAGCTGGAGGACGTGATAGAGGAACTACGAGCAAGACTGGGCGTTTGCAGGGGCGAGCTGGAGAAACACGTGAGCGTGAGCAAGATAGAGGCGATGATAGGCAAGGAGGACGACTTTGCCGACGTTCTTGAGAAGGAAGTGCTGGTTACAGTCCCTGTGAGGGACGAAGAGGTGGGGAGAGTCGATGATCTGGCCGACGTCGACGAGAAATTTGTCGTGGCTGCTCCGAGGCTAGCGGATGTTGACATAGAGGTCAGACCGGACGTGGTGGACCGTGATTTGGAGACGAGGCCTGACGTCACGGACGCTGAATTGGAAATAAAACCTGACGTGGAACACGTGGCCATGGAGGTCCTCCGGAGAGACTTGATACCCGTGGACGACGTTCAAGTCGTG